TTCAAAATTCCTAGAATGGCCGCCTTCACTTAATCATATTGGCCTACAGCTTCTGGGGTAAGGGTATCCACTGCTTCTTGTGCAGGACCCAAGAGGCAAGGCGTCAGGATGAGGGCCCACTGGTCTTTGGGCCACTTGGCATCCAGAAAACCCTTTCAAATGTATTTAGAAAGGCTTCAGGGTCATCTTCTGCAGTCATCTTAGAGATCCATATATGATCTGGGCCTTTTCCTCCTGTCTGTCCAACTAGGGTTTTGACTTGAGGGCCTTATAGTCCTTCCAGCACTTGCTGAAGCAAGGAACTTTGGTTCTGGAGCTGGGCATTGAAAACTTGCTCCATGAGTTGCGTCTGTTGTGCTGCTAATTGCTGCAACAGGCGCTGCTGCTCCTGGGCCTGGAGCCTTTGCTGCTTAGCCCACCAAGCCATCCAGGAACCAGCTGGGGCAGTGGGGTGACCTGTTTCTCCCTTTGCTGCCCTGTCTGCATTCTCCACCATTGTGACTGCATCAGGAGGGAGGGACATGCTAATGACACCTTGTTCTTGGTTGTTTTTTTCCCCCAATTTATATCCTGCCTTTTTCCTGCAAAGGGGTCAAGGCAGCTTACATCATTCTCCTCCTCCATCTTATCCCCACAACAACCCTGTGAGGTAGGTTGGGCTGAGAGTCTGTGACTGACCCAAAGTCACCCAGTTGGCTCCATGGCCGAGCGGGGACTAGAACCCAGATCGTCTGAGTCCCAGTCCCATGCTCTTAACCACTATGCCACACTGGCTCTCCATGTTTTTCCATGAGGGAGACACAAGGAAGCCAGTGCACTCACCAGGCCTTTATTCTCTGGTTACACATTTCACGGGTTTGCTTTCTGAAGCGCCTAGGCCCTTGTCTCTCCGGCTCTCTCCCCTCCTGTCTCTACGGCAATGAACAGCGTTGCCCCTGCAGTAGCACCACCAGGTCTCTCCTCTCTGTTTGCATTGACCTGCCTGCGAGCGATAGCCAAGCCAGCTCTTCCCAAACAACACACGCATCTCTGCTTTCACTCCTCTCTCTCTACCTCTTTCTCCTCCCCCCTTCCCTTCCCTTCCTCTCCTCTCTATACTCTCTTCTCGTGCACCACTCCACCCAACCCAGTTGTTCCTCCCCCAGCTGGCAGTCCTGCACAGCTGCGCACTTGGCCACGTCTCCCGGCCGTTGGAGTCTCGTGTGTTCTGCCCAAGCAGATCCCCAGCCATGCCCTGTTCTCTTTGGCCCTGCTCTGTTGAAGGTTCCAGGAAAATGGGTGAGCCCCTCTACCTCCTCACACACTCCTACAGGTCTGCCCCCACCAGTTCCACAAATCCTATTCCTATAGATTGAAGATAATGTTGTAAAGAGAAATAGCAATGCACGGGATTCCCTGGGAGGGGAACTCCCCATTATTTTCATTCACCAATCAGAAATAATAGTGAAATTCCCTTCATGTTATTGTAGTGGCTGTGCAGAAAGCATTATGCTAACAGGGGGCTTTTATACAAACTTAATAAATAAATAAAATGCACCTGTAATTTTTGATTATCACTTTCAGAAAGATGAGGGAATTCCTGTCAGGGTAGTTGCCTGCAAAGAAAAGTATGGTGGGGGGGGGGGGGCTCACATGCAAGGTGAAGGGAAGAGTTATTTGGCATCTTATCCCTATTCCCTTTCTTGGTTTCTCCCTCCTCCAGGTGAACTGTGGTGGCCTTAGCAGCCCACTCTTCAGATTCTTTTAAATGGCAGGTTGGCTATTAAAATCTCATGAGAGATTTAAAAATCTCTCTTTTACTAGATTGTGGATGAAGAAACTGACTTGATGTATGTAATCAAGAACTGATTTGTGGAATTAGTCTCCCCCAGATACGTTCCCCTGAGTACCAAGTCCGCACCAGAATAGCCTGGAAAGCTAGGATAAAGGTGGCTGTACACATCACATTTTTCTCTCCAGAATTCCTGTCCATTTGTGTTGGGTGTTCAGGACAGACTGAGGATTCTGTTGATATTCTACCCACTCTGCTGTCCATCAGTCTCGCTGCCTGAACTGATGGAGGTGGTCACAATTTGGTGCTGAGGTCTCCTGGAATAATGGGAGTCAACTAATTATAGATCCTAATCTTTGGCAATGTAGAAGCAGTTTTTCTCCTCCATTTTATCCTATCACTCCCAAACTGCAGAACATTTATGAAAGGATCAAGGCTTTTGGGTTTCTGGCCCAGTGAGAGAACTCATCGAACCCTCAAGTGGGGTTGTTTGCAAGATATTTCGAAAGCAAAGCCACTCATTCATCATGACAAACTCTTTTAAACCTGAAATGTCTGATTCTGCTCAATTGTGGAAGCTAAGCAGGGTAAGGCCTGGTTGAAATCTGGTTGGGTGACTTAAAATGTTATGAACTGGCCAGAGAGCTTCAGCTGTATAATAATAATAACTCATTATATGGAGGTGTTAGGGCACCATCTGGTCCAATATTACTGGATGGCTTTCAGTTTTTAGGATCAGAGGATGAGGTCAATGTGTTCAGTAAAGTTCTAGAAACCTTTGACCATCATGACTTATTACTGATATTAGAGAGGGGATGACTTGCTGGGTCTAGTACATTAAGAATTTTTCCTGATAAGGAGTAGTTTATTTATTATTTATTTATTAAAACATTTTTATGCCGCCCCATTCGCCGAAGCCTCGGGGCGGCTTACAACAAAAAATTTAAAATAACATTTTAAAATATATACAATAAAATACAAATATACACTATAAAACAAGCCGCCCTGGCCAAATAAAAT